TATATATGTTGCGGTCACCTGTACACTAAGACCGATTGAGTGCTTGCAAGAACATCGGTGCCATCAGCAAGTAAGAGCCAGACAAGCATTTGCGCAGCAAGGAGAGGTAAGCAAATGTTTTTGCAACAGCCGCCACCAAAGGATGCAACATGCGTGGTGGCCTTTCCATTCTTATGAAGAAGGCCAACCCGCTTCGTGGTCCAGTACATTGACAGGCTCCAATGACCATATTTTGGCACATCCTTTTTGCATTCGCACTTGCCATCCATGGACTGAAACAACTTCAGGACATGATGCCATTCCGCATCATCATGCCTTGCCTCATTCAAGTGGTCGATGGCCTTCTGCACAGCAGCCTTTCCTGGCCCTCGCTCAGGCTTAGCTGGTGCCTCCTCAGCCTTTCCCTCGCCAGTAATCAGCTCCGCTTGCGCCGGAGGCGATTGAGATTGCGCAACAGCTTTTGCCTGCGCAGCAGCAGCTTTTGCCTTTGCTCGCGCTCTCTTCTTGGGCTGCTTCACTGGTGGAGAAGACTGGAGATTCTCTTTCTCCTCATTCCCCTCCACAAACAATTGCCTTCGCTCAGGAGTGTTTGCGACTGGCCTCTTCGGTGGATGCTTGGGATCCGGAGACTCTGGTGCCACTTCGGGAGCTGGCTCTTTTGCCCGATCAGTCATCTCAGGCACAGCAGGGATTGAGGAAGAGTTCTTCCCACGACCACGTCCCCGTCCCCGCCCACGACCTTTGGCACCTGCTTCTTTCTGCTCAGCTACCTGTGCCAACTGCTCCCGCCGAGTGAGGACCTGCGCTGAGAAAGGCAGGTATATAGGTTCTCATGATTTAAGCCAGTGAACTTACAAAGAGACCTGTCGGGACAGAAAAGTTAAATTTACATCGGTCTTGGGGTATAAGTAAAGAGAAGTCTAAAACAGCAGGACCATGACAAACATACAAAATATACCTATATACATATATATATATACCAACTTTACGTGTCGCTGGGTGGGGTCAAACATGACTATATATATATATTTATTGAGCGAACACACAAACAGACAGGAGTGGCATTGTGCCCTGTGCATGATGCCAGTGTTTTGCCAGAAAGGTTGTGACATGTTAAAGAACACACCCTGGCCTGCTCCTTCTCCTTTGGGGGCGGGTCTGCAGGAGTAGCCACACGCTCGCCCCTCTCAATGATCTCAGCCACTGCTGCGGTCATCCCACCAGTCAAATCCATCGGGATAGTGGGGTCAGTGTCTCCGCCCATGGGAAGTGATTCCGTCACAATCAGTGCCCCACCTGTGACTGGAGGAATCGACTGGATGTCTGCGGTGATTTTTGCTTGGAGAGTCCTTGGCACATTTCAAGGTGTAGTGTTATATCAGTCAGTTCACATCGGTTCATGCGCAAGGGCTGTGTTGGCACATTCCGTTTAGTTTTCTGTGTCATCCATGCTTGGTGCTTGAAGGGCAAGAAGACAAACATACCGCAATGGGACCACAATGGGTACACCGGTTTAATACAATCCATCTATACCAAAGAATGACAGAACTCGTGTTGAAAACCCGCAACACAAAAGCAGTGCAAGGGTAACAGGCAGTGCTTTAGTTTTGCAGCATTTCAACTTGAGAATTCTTTGGAGTAAAGCAGGCAGCTTTCTTGAAAATGCCTCTTCAAAGTAAAAATGAACTGCTTATATATACATCCTTAATTTCAGCAAATAAGCCCGGGACTCTGCTTCCTTCATTTGCTGCTCCAAATGTTTGATTTGCTCTCGGAGTGCTTGGGCTTGTTCTTCTTTGGTGGGCTCCCTGACTGGAATATCCTCGACCTCCTGCAATTCCATCTTCACCGGTGAGTCTTCGATCAGCACTGACTCCTCGGCCTGCTTGTTGAGCGACGGAGCCAGTGGACGTGCCACTGGACGCGCCGGCTGCTTTGCCATCTCAACATCTTTCAGAACAGGAGTGGTCTGGCTGGAGTGGTCTGGCAGAACAGGCTCAGATTCTTCAACCACAACATCAGACTGATCAGTCGATCCCGACAAGCCGGTGCTGATGAACTGATCGAACCAAGCGTCCTCAGTTTCCTCGACCTCATAATCGTTCTGGTCATAGATCAAGCCATCACTAGCCGCTCCTGACTCTCCTTCTCCATCGCTTTCTGGTCCATCAGGTTCCCATTGATTGCGAGGCTGCAAGGGATTCAATCCAGCAAAAGTGCACATGTTTTCTGACAAGTATTGGCAAGTCTTCAACAAACAGCGCGCACGCATGTATAATTTTCAGTGCTCATGCACAGCCCACATTGTGAATGTGTGTATGTATATATATATATATACGCTTTACCGCTCATGAACTTTGCACGCTGAAGATATAGACATTGTGTCGCAATAGCTTTTGGAACTATATACACCGTCGCCTGGATGTCCGGGTCAAGAATTCGCTGAAGGGCCAAGAAGTGAAGGTCCTTAATTGTAAAAGGACTAAGCGATTGTCGAGCAGCTCGGCGATCAAACTGAACAGTAAGAAGACCATTAGGACTCTGTATATATATACATATGTCCCAACGGCATAATCACCCCAAATTGTATATGGGACCAACCATGCACTTCCATTAAAACGACAGATTGCTTGACATGTCCTTAATTGTGACGGGGGTTGGTAAAGCCATGCAAGCTAGTGCACCCAAGCCACATGTGAACCCAGGTTCTTGTGAGTTCGCATTTTGATGAAAGAGAGCATGCTTTTGGCCGTCCAGGCATCGAGCTTGACTTTGTCCTTCTGCGGGATGAGGTGCATTTTGCTTCTGAACAGCTTGATCCTCACATGCGCTTGAATCACAGGGTCCATCCATGGAAGGATTGCCAGAGGCTGCAATATATATAGAGTTCAATTTTTTGACGCTTGTCTAACTTGTTTACAAGTCTCCTCACAAACAAAATATATACACATATGATGATGGTTTGCTCAGGGAAACCACCGCCCATATTTCATATTCTCTGGTCAAACAAGTTGGTGCCTCCTGGTTGACAAATGAGAGGGTCAACCGGTCAACCTTGGACAAACATACACAAAGGTACATATATTTGCTCTACAAATATAAAAACAATTTGTATAAGGCTTGGGCAAGACTCTCTGCACCAAGCTCCTTCACATATGGCACAGGGTGGTGTGGATTCTGGGCCATGCGCTGTAGTAAGGGCCGAAGAACGAATTGATTGTGGACTGCATCCCGAATACCGAACTTGATGCCAGCAGGGACCCCATCTGCAGCTGGTGGCCTAGAAGCCTCAAACAATCGATCGGCTCTGATTGCGACTTGACGAACAGCGGGTTGTTCTTTCCACTCCCGGTACACCCGTGAAATCTCACAGGTGGGAAGCTCTTTGCCCTCCTTGTCCTTGAACGGCATCGAGGCGCTGCCAAACAGAATGCCAGCTAGGATTGAGCACGCAAAAATGGCTTTAGGTATGAAAAAGCAAATTCTATAATGCCCAGGTCCGTCATTCATTCACGAGACAGGCATCAAAGTTCGAGCATGTTTGGGACTGACCACTGCAGGCTTACTGATGATGGCCTGAGTCTCCGGCCGATCTGCTTTGCTGTCCGATGAAAGAAGGGCAAAGCGCTGGGTCCATGCCAGAGTTTGGCAAGAAGCGGGACGGAATGAAATGAACTCAAGCTTTGGTGTTTGTCACAGCCCTAAACAATTATAGGGGCATATAATGAGAGCATTTCAATGTCAGGTTCTTGTGGAGACTTGAGCTGGTCTAGCTCCAAACATTTCCATACATCATCCACATACAGTCAAAACAGATTTGTATTCAGCCCAAATGGCCTCACAGAAGAAGCCTTCACCTTCCAACATGCCAGGCACGTCCAAAAACCTGGTTTTCGATATGGCCAGGGTGGTACCTAAGAAACTACGGGTTTTGACACACAAAACCAGGTTCTTGTCAAAAAACCTTTGTTTTGGCCATAGGGCTGAGCCGATGGATGGAAGTGGAAAACGGTCCCTTCGACCTTCGAAAAGGGTATAGGTGTCCACTGCTGGAAAGAGACTCGGATCATCTCCAACTGTTCTTTTCGGTTTGATCATGCACCTCATGCTATACCTTATAGGGACATCTCGTTAATTGCAATTACAAAACGGATGCCGAGGGCGGGATGTCTTCCATCAGCAAGAATAGGCATAATTGTATGCATGCTTTTCGAGGATGTTGGATGGATTAGGCAAAAGGACCATTTCGGGGCCAGGCGGACCGTGGGGTCATGACGTGTTGCGAAAACCGCCATGTTAGTCAAAGCTTTGGGTTCCAGCTTTCGGGAAACAAAGAAATGCGTGTGTTGTTGTGCGTGTTTCTTGGGATGGTTGAAGAGGATTATTTGTATGCATTTGGAATGGTAAATCCATCCAAATTGACACATGGCTCCAAAATAGGATGCCACCACCCCAAAACCTGCAGCGACACCCACATCAGTGTGTATTAAAATAGAGGGACCTCCTAAAAATAAAGGATGAAGGAAACTAGACCAATACCCTGCATTGGTCAAAGGCCTCTCATGGCCTCTCTATTGAAAAATACGTCCACAGATCACCTGCTTGAGCCCCATGCACATGCATTAATGACGGAGACCTCCTAAAGATCCTGGTCACATGTGTTTCAATATGGTGGATTGATTGATTGCTGCTTTCAGTACACCCAGCGAAAGAATTCTGATTATGTGGATGCCATGGCCCCGAAGACTCTCGGATGACCATTTTCTTCAGACCGAACAGGTGGTGAACTTGACTGACACCAGGAGTCACAGGAGCCACAGTGGTTTGTATCGTCCCATCCAGTGAGTGGATGTGACAGGCGCACCCAGTTGGGCACTAGTACTCCTTCACCCCGACTTCCTGTGACTCCTGGCGTTTTGGTTGGTTTCCTCCAAGACCTGGCACCTGGTTATCATGGTCAAGGTCCAACTCCTCATTACTGCGGTCGGCACCTCTCACAGGCGGCCGGCGCCCGGGATGGAGGCGACAGGCTGGAGGCAATGCTTTGGGGTGGATTCGGAGGCGAAACCAGTGCAAACCCTGATGGTAACATACCAGAAACCACTCGGGATAGAGAAAGCTGCGGTATTTAAATGGATTTAAGTTATTTTAACTTAATATGTTGTGTGCAATGGCTTTTGGGTATTTGTGGTAGTGCAGGAATTCTTGCTTCAATTCTTGCGACAATATGCTGCTGCCAAGTTGAAATGTTGCTATATAGTGTGTCGATCACCTGTGAGTCATGAGTTACTCTCCCGCAAACGGACCACATGGAACCTGAGAATGGACTCGTATTTTGAACAGACCAACCCGAGGTGGTTTTACGGTTCCATGTTATATAATCCTTTGGGAGGGAGAGTTCAGCAAAGAGACACTTATAAATAACTTATAATCATATCTTTGCGGATGAGACAAGGTCAATCCCTACCTGCAAAAGACGTGGCAGGTCGGTCGACCAAGGTCGTGGCTGACTGTACAGTCAGCGGGTTGGCCACGAGATCTCACCGACTTGACCGTTTCTTGGGGAGACTTCTGAGAAGGGTGCTACTGGACTCAGGTTTGGGGACTTGTCAGATGATCTGACGTTCAGCACACTCGCTAGACTAGATGGGTTTGTATTTCACTTTGGAGAGCTCCCCACCAATCAGTGTGTGTTTTTCTCCCGCCGAAGCACGCGGTAAGAAGTCGCCTTCTTATATGACCCTCCCAGGTGTTGCGGTGCATTTTTCACCGGTCCTTTTGATGTGAACTTTGGAGCCCGGGATGAAACTGAGCTACAAAAAGGCATCAAAAAGCATTTGCTCAATGATTTGAAGAACAGGATGGTGAACTCCAGGTTGTAAAGGCTACCAAGTTTGTACAATGTACAGTGGTTTCAGAGTAGATGGCACAATCCCAAAAAGCTGCTTTGTATGGACCCTCATCTAAAGACATCTTCAGGTTTGTGCCATCTACTCTAAAACCACTGTAAAGACTTCTGGCTTTCGGTGTTCCTTAGTTTTTCTTGTTTCACGCTTCTTCCAGCGAGAATCTGCCTTCGAAACCTCCAACAAATTCACTGCTGGTGGTTTGGGAAGAGGATTTACTGCGCAACACGTGAGCGCAGTGGCTGCCTAGCCGCGGAGGTCTCTCACTTGCCCAGCCTTTTGAACTCCATGGGTTATGAAACCTGGGACTTGCAGGCGCGGCGCGCGCGGGCGTGCGGGCCATGGTGAAGAAGGGCCGTGGAGCTTGTGGGCGATTGGAGGTGATGACGTCAAGAATGAGCCATGATTCAAGATCACTCAAAGACTGACTGACCGTTTGAACATCTCAATTCCAAAATCGTGCAGACCTTGCCTACTGTATGTGGTTTCCACCTGGTAGCATTGTAGGGCCGAAAGGTCCAAGTCTAGGGAATAGCTATGTGTGTTTATTGTGTCCTTCTTATAGTTCCTGTTTCTCGATACTGCTGTTGCTGTTTGTATTTTATCCTGGTCCTTGCTTATTTGTTCATATTTGTTCTCCTTGTTCTCCTGTTCCTTCTTTGTTTGTTGTTGTGTTCTTTTTGCTCTTGTTCTTGTCCTTGTTGTTCTTTCAGGCACCATACCGATATCGCCATGAAGTGTGCAACTACTATAGTTACTACATTCCCTAGAACTAACATGGAAGTGGCGAATGGCCCCTTGGAAGACAATTTTCCATGTTCCTTTACAAACAGGGGGTTGTCCACTTCCATATTAGTTGCAGGGAGAGTAACTATTAGTCACTCACACCAGGTCATTGAGGAGACTTTGGAAGATGCCACTCTGGCGCCCTGCACGGAGCTACTTGCCTCAGACTGCCGCGGTGATCAGTGTCTTTACGACGGATCTATACTTCCTCCATAAAGGGGTGGTTAATTGACAGCCTGGAGCGTCGGTCTTTCCATGTCGTACCTGTTTTTGTTGGGTTCGGGTCAAGTCCCATGTTCTACGACCGATGTCGTGTCCGATCCAGCTCATTTGGCCTTTACGATGTTCTTTTTTCCACATGCGCACTGGCATGAGTTGCTGACCCTTCCGAACCATCCGTGGTCAAGCTCGACCTTTCGGGTTGGTCCAAATCGCTGGGCTTTGGGACATGATAGACTCTGAACACCGCGGCCTGGCTTGGGGGTGCTTGGCTCGTTGCAGTTCCGATCTCGTCATGCCGAAGCGTGCGCGCTGACCGCTGAGCCGTCCTCGCAGCGGCTCGCCGCGGAACCGCTCCAAGGCTTGAGCTGGGAGATGTGTGGAGGTTTCTCATGGAGCACCGTGGCCGGACAACGGGTTCAACCCACCGACTGTGGTGGGTGGGCCCCTAAATTTCCATGAAGTGTCACTTTCTGAAGACAACAAAATACGTGTAAAGACATGTAAAGTACGTTCTTCTCTAGTTTCTTCTTCCTCACATGGTGGGTCCACCTTCACCTCCGCTCCATCATCCTTGTCTACAATATCACCTGCAGGCTTGTCAGCCTGGTATACTGTACGTCGTGCGGAGACAACCCGGGAGATTCAGGTTCAGGGACCAACAGGCTCAGCCTGGCCAAACCTACGAACGGCCGGCGATTCAGTGGGCGACCGTGTCAACATGATTTGCTATCCAAAGGGAGAGATGTTTGGACCTTGGCACCATACCTGCCACCTTGAACTTGGACATGCTTGAACCATAGACATTGGAAGAACCTGCGTCAACAAAGTCAACTTCGAGAGCTACGCCACGCAACAGATTTCATCCCGTTCCGCCCAATTTTTTGGCGATCACAACTTGTTTTTGATATGGGTCCCACGAAGAGGTGTGTGAGCTATTTTTGCTTTTGTCGCTGAGGTGCTGCTGCCTTGCTTCGTGAAAACATGGGTGGGGGGGTCGGGGGTGCAATGACGTCGATTTTCTTTCATTCACTCGAAGATAACTTCGTACTTTGTTTACTTTGAAGATAACGTTGCACTTTGTTCACATTAAGATAGCCTCGTAGTTCGTTGATATTCGTTGCATTGTGGAGGATTTTGGTTCAACAATGGTTTGCCCCCAAGCCTTAGTCTTGGTGTTCGTCTGGTTACTTCGCATTGCTGGTCAGCCGTGTCCGTCTTCGGATCGCTTGCTGTTGTTTTTGTTTCGTATGAATCCGTTTACCCTTGATCAGTGCATAGACGGTTGGTGTCGTTCTGGTCTAGGTTCTCTAGAGCGGTTTGTTTTACAGGTTCGCTCGATCCGGATAGATCTTGGTGTGATTGGTCCGGTTTACCTTCTTACATGCCTTTGTTATCAGCTGCTGGCTGAACACAACTGGCTGACAGCTCATGGAAGAGCTTGAAAGCTTGGATACCCAAGCATGTGAACACAACCAAAGCAAAGAGTCGAGCGAGACATTAAACCAAACTCAAAGAGTCAAAAAGTATCAAACAGTCAAAAAGGTAAAGGAAACGAACGCACGCGGCCACTTTTCGACGTTTGGAGACGTGTAAGCCTGTGAAATTATTTGACTCTTCGTTTTTTTGGTATTGGTCTCACTTCTCCCAATAGAGGAGAGGCTTCATTAAGAGAAGAGAGGCGCAATTAAGGAAAAAAGGAGGTTCCACAAGGAGAGGGCTGGATTAAAACAAGACAGGTTCCATAGAGAGAAGAGAGGTTCCATTGAGAGAAAAGAGGCCCGATTGGGAGAAGAGAGGCTCTATTAAGAAAAGAGAGGTTCCATTAGGAGAAGAGTCGAGGGGTTTGATTTGGACAAGGGATGCTGCACTCAGAGAAGAGATGATTTTTTGTTTTATAGTGGTGGACTAGCACTTAGAATTGCTTAACGTTCTAGGGGTGCACTTAGAATTAGGTGTCGGTGTCAGTTCTGCAGATAGAATTAAAGTGATGTTTTTAGGCAGTGATTATGCAGTTAGAAGTAAACATTCATTCATCCGACATACATGCAATCCATCATATTTAAAGGCTTACGCCTAACAGCCGGGCGCCGGCCACTTGGGTCTGTGGGGAGCATGTCGCGCCTATGTTGGCCTTGGTGGGGCCTATATTGAGCAAAGTTAAGCTATCTGGTGCGCATCTTGGCCCTAGGTTGGGCCAAGTTGGGCCCATGTGGTCTATGTTGGGCACATCTTGGGCCCATGTTGAGCCTATGTTGGGCCTATGTTGGCCTATGTTAGGCCTATGTTGGCCTAGGTTGGGCCCATGTTGAGCCATCTTGGAGGCTATGTTGGGCATATGTTGGGGATATGATGGCTATCTTGGGCCTATGTTGGGGATATGTTAGGAAATGTAAATCGTCTGGAGGGCCTCTACCGACAAAATGTCGATTAAGCCTGTCCGCCCGGCCCGCATTACCGACACCACCCTTGAAAAACACAGCATTTTTGCATTTTTACCTTTTCCCCGCGTCGTACTTCGATATGCGCAATAAACCCTGTAAAACACAGTGTTTTTTATACCTCACACACACGATAACACTGTAAATTACAGGGGCTTCAGTTGACCGGTCGTCCCCCCGTTTTGATGACGAGGGTCGGCGGCAGGGGGCGCGCCCGTATATAACCTTCGGTTACCACCGAAGGCCCTCCGGGCATGCCACGGGCGTCCTGGCCGGCGCCCGGATTACCAGGCTACCGCCTGCAGCCGCCGACCCCCAAGGGATAGAACCTTAGCGCTAGCCTTGCTCTATGTTAGCCTTAGCCTTAAGCCTTAGCCTTAGCCTTAAGAGTGCAGACCCAACCCAGCACCACCAAAGCAGGTACCCAAAAAGTCGACTTTTTGGGTACCTCCCAGATTTACCATCGGACGTCAGCTCTTGCATGAACCCCGATCATTGCCCAAGAATTTAGACCCAACCCTTCACCACCAAAGCAGGTACCCAAAAAGTCGACTTTTTGGGTACCTCCCAGGTTTACCAATTTAGACCCAACCCAGCACCACCAAAGCAGGTACCCAAAAAGACAAAGCCTAGAGCATTCCTAGGAAAATGCCAGAAAAGCCTTTGAAAATCTCATAAACCAACAGAAAACGTGACAAAATCTACGAAAAAGCAAGGGCATTGGCCGGGACCTTGCCGCGACCAGCCCGGGATTCGAGCCCAGGACCATTTTGGACCGTGCTTATTTTCCCGCGCGGGTCGAGAGGGTGCCCCAAGATGTAAATCAATTGGGATGGCAGAATCTTGGACAATTCCCGGGTCGCTCAGGGCGGGATTTCGTCACTGCAACAAGGGTCCGGAGGGGTAGGGGAGGTAAGGTCTAGGTCTAAGGCTAAGGACTAGGTCTAAGGCTAAGGCTAAGGCTTAAGGCTAAGGCTAACATCGACAGTCACGCCTCACCCCACGGTGTGGGGTCGGCGGATTTTACAAGCAAAAAAACATCAACAAACGCGCAATTCCTTTTTTAACTGCATTCAAACATATGTGTTCAAACAAATTCTCAAAAGAAAAAGCTGTTCGCCGATAATTTACCATCTATCTAGAAACCAAACATACAATTTGTTGTGAAAACCCGTCCTCCAGTTGTAAATGTAGCTCGGACAAATTCATTGCAACTAGAGACGCGCCGGCCTAAAAGAGCGCAAACCTTAAATAGAAAACGGTTGCTGTTTGAGAAAACTAAGATAAACTAAGCATCAGTTGCTTGCATTGATGGGGTTCTACCCTTATCTTTACACTCTGCCCTTCCTACTCATTCCTCAAAAAAACGCAATCTCAGGTCCTTTCTTCCCTCAAGCACCGCAAGCTGCGAGGCATTGGACGCTCTCATGTGTGGCAAACTCATTCAATCTTGCAATAATGTGGCAATGTCAAATCTATGTGGCAACTTTAATTCTATATCTTCGTTTTTCACTCCAAACAGTTCTAACTGCTTGTTCCAGATTTCTAGGAATGTCCTAGGTTCCTAGTTTTCTTTATCATAAAGATATTCTAACTGCTAGTCCGCCACTATAAGAGAAGAGTGATTCGATTAAGACGAGAGGTTCCGTTCGGAGGAGAGAGGTCCCATTTCGAGAAGAGAGGTCACCGAGAGAAGAGAAACCAGTAATATAAGATCAGTTAAGATACTGAAGCTGATATACCTTGGGAGAAAAGTGGGTTTCTTGGGTGTTCCTGCCTGAAAGTGTCCCTTCTTCTGTGTATTTCTTCGAGAGTCTTTGGGACTACAGTGTATTGGCGTACTAGGTGAGCAAGAGACAATAAGGTAAGCTAACCAAAGTCTTGAAAGGTGAGTTTTGACGCAGGGACAAGAAGTTATTGGGAGATGGAATTGCGCAAGAAGAGGGTTCCATCATCAATGTGTTTTCATGATGGTCGATTGTTGTTTGATTTCAAGTGTGTTGCCCTGTACCCTACAACAAATGACTTCATCTCGCAAGAAACCACCTGATCCTTGGGGCAGCGCCTCTGTTCAGTCTCGCCCGAACCTCTTATGTAAGCCTTTGCGCACTTGTCCTGCAGCCGACTTTTGATGTTGGAGGGGAAACAACGAGTGTTGGAGTGTAGCGGGAGCCTCAGACTTGTTCCCATATGACCTTCCACATCACGGTCCTCCTGCGTATTTTCTGCGTGTGCAACGCTGCCAAAGTAGCTGCCGAGTACCAGCAAGAGATCTCACAAGCGCGTGCTCTGACCCAAGCTGCGAAGGTGTTGGCCGAGAAGATTGCTCACCCTGCTGAGATGTTTCCTGCATTTTCTGTGTTGGGAAAGGCCCGGTAGAATTCTTCGCGGGGTCTATCACGTGAAGCTGCCCTGCAGAGACGAGGAAGAACGCTACTTCGTGTGCCCCCATGCTGGTTTCCTACTCCTGCGGCCCACAACGAACCAATCTAGGGGCAAGAAAGGAGTGATCAAAGACATGTGAGCTTTTGCACGACAACCTGGCTGCCGCAAGTTTCTGAATTTTTGCTTTGCGCCCCAGCGGGTTGAATGTGAGCCACCTGCTTCTACTACGATTTGGACTGGGCGGGGGTTCTTTCCCGCGGCTCAGCAGTGCCCTTCTAAAGACCACCCCGGACGTGGAAGGTTCCGTCTTTTTCAAAAATGACTGTCACAAGAAGCAAGATGATTTCCAGTGGGCTTGGCTTATACCACCTGTTTCTGACCTACATTTGTTCATCATGGAAATTCGCAACAGGAAGTCTTTCCCTTGGCCTTGGCATTGGACATGAGGTTGTGGAAATGCGGACGCAAGTCAGCTTTTTGATGGAGAAAGTCCACAGGCCATTGGACACTGGGACATTCTTCTGGGACAAACGAGCATTTCGGCACTTCGTATGAACGCAAGTCTCCAAAT